TTAAAGATAAATAACATATGCGATTTTTCTTGCTTTTCCTTACGTGTCAGCTACCGATTCCACTACTCTCGTTTCTCGTGCCAATTATTCCAGCTGGAATAATGGATGTGATCACAAACATGGTCGTGGGAAGGGTGGTCATAGATAGAGGCCTCGTTGCAACTATTGACAAAACCTTGATCTTGTTGAAGAGCGCTACTATAGGAAGTACCCTCACCTAAAACCACCAATTGCTAACCTTACTTAGACCAACATTGCGTCATCCTCTACTAGATCAGTAACTATCTCAAGTGCAAATTATGAGGCTCTTCTTAGGAAGGTTTCTTCCTAGACTTCTGCTGCAAATACTGGTAATCATGTTGGTTGTCTTTCTCAATCATTTCTTGGACCTTAGATAATTGACTGAGTTATTACTAATCACCTTTGTGATAATAAGGACTTTTTTACCTCACTTACTTATTCTAATTATCTATCTTCGGTTACTTTTACTGATGGCACCAAGGCCTCTACTCGTGGCATTGGGAAAGCCTGTCTAGCTCCTTATTTGACTCTATACTCTGTTTAATATATACTCGATATTCCCTTTAATTTGATATATATTAGCCAATTGGTCATTCTCTTTTATGCACTGTTGCCATTTCTAACCAAGTTATCTCTGTATACGATCCAGGTACGTGGAAGACGATTGAAGTGGATCTTGAGTCACGGGGCTCTACTATCTGGATATGCCTTATTCTCCAGTGGCATGTTATCTTGGGGAGTCTCCTGAACTAATCCATCATCGCCTGGGTCATCAGAGTCTCTTCAATATTTTGTTACCTTTATTGATAGCTAGTTTTTTTCGTTACACTTGGGTTTATTTAATATAAAATTATTCTAAATTATTTTCTATCTATTAAAATTTTTATGTTGAGGTTCATAATCAATTTGGTTCTCCTATTCTAGTTTTACAGATTGCAAATGCTAAAAGGTATTTGTCTTTTGCATTCTCTAATTCTTTAGAAAAACAAGGGACGTTACACCAAACTATCTGCCCTCACACGCCATAACAAAATGGAGTGACCGAATATAAAAATAGACATCTGGTTAAATTACACGTACTTTTCTGCTTCATATGAATTTTCTACTCCGATTTTAGGCAGATTTATTATTACCTCATCAATCATATGCCATCTTCTATACTTAACAATGAAGTCTCGCACAATGTTTTTTTTTAGGTACACCTCCTTATCCATTGTCTCCACATGTTTTAGGTATACTTGCTTTGTTCCAGGAAAAGATAAAATAACATCGATCCAACGCCTTCAAATGTCTCTTTTTGGGTTACTCTTGCTTTTAAAAAGGGTACCACTGCTATTTTCCTAGTCTCAAGCGCTACATTGTATCTATTGATGTCACCTTTCTTGATCAGCAGCCCTTCTCCTGTTCCAAAACTCTCGTGCATAAGTTGATTATATTCTTTCCATTTTTTTTCTTGATTTGTCTTTACCAGTTGCATGTGTCAGCCTACTGCGAACCTTACTCCGCCTAACTCACCACCTTCACTGATCATCTCTTCCCCTCCGGCTCCTCCACTAGAGACTACTCTCATTGACCTCTACAAAAGTATTCGATCCACTCGCAATCCTCATCCACTTTACCTTTATTTCTAGTCTTTCTTCTGTTGTCATTCCTAAGATCATAAGTGAAACCTTATCTCATACTAGTTGGCGCTAATCAATGATTGATGAAATGACAACTCTTCACTCCAATGGCATAAGGAATCTTGTTCCTGCTTGCAAAGATCATATTTTTGACCATGCATTTTATTTTATTTTGTAAATAAAATAAATAATAGTAATAAATAAAATAAATGCATACGACAACAAGGAAATAATTCTCCTTCTGAAGCCATCTGTTTTCTGAAAAAAGGATGTATGGGCGACAATGATAAAAGATGGACAAAAATGTTTACACGATTGATATTTATCTATAAAAGCATGAAGAATCGAGAGATGAAGGGGTAAAGGGGCTTCAGAAAGGAAAATAGGAAAAAATAAAAAGAAGAAAAGAGATGGGGATGGAGTAGAGAACTGAAGAAAGAAATTAAAACCATTTAGAAACGAGTAGGAAGAGCACGAAGTAGAGAGATATAGAAGGAGATTGAGAGAAGAAAGAAAAGTACAAAATCTATTAGAGATGTTTTTGGGACCATTAAAAGAATTTGTGTTAGTGTTGCCCGCAAACTATTCTGTAATAAAGGAAAATATCCAAAGTAGGTTGGTCTATTGATCAACACACTCCACAACGAATCCCTGCTAATGAAGTGGGAAAGGTTTGAATCTTGGAGTCGCCTACTTGGGAAGAACTGTAATGACTGCTTGGCTTGGAGTGTTGCAAACTTTGCCACTAGTTTTACCTGCTGAAAAAAAAAAGAACCTAAAGAAAAATAAATTGACACAATAATTAAGATGAAACTATAAACCAAATAACCTTAACACGAAGGAATGAAGAACATCACAGAAGATTTTTATAGGGCTCATCTCAAGAATTTTTAGGCTGGTAATACACGATTGATTAGATCCTATTTTTGATCAATGAATTCATAACTTTAAGGCTGGAGCGTGCTCCTTCTGGGTTGCATTGGTTGGGTTTTTCAAGAAACAAGTGGAGGTTGGTAGCTATAAGGTATTCTTTTTATAGGGCTCATCTCAAGAATTTTTAGGCTGATAATACACGATTGATTATATTCTTTTTTAGATCAATGAGTTCATAACTTTGAGGCTGGAGCGTGCTCCGATTGCATTAGATTGGTTTTTTCAAGAAACAAGTGGAGGTTGGTAGCTACGAGGTATTCTGACACTTAAGTCAGTGTTTGAGTTAATACTTTAGTATATGGATTAGATAAATATATGAGTATTAAGCCCAAAAATAGATTCTTTCATGTTAAAATCTCATATAATGTCATGTGAAATTTTGTGTCTATCATTTTCTTCAATATTAATGATAATTGGACCATATCTATTTAATACATGTAAAGAGAGAGATAAAAACAGAATTTTCATATAACCAGGTCATGTGAAATTTTAACATGAAAAAATTTACTCCCCCAAGTTATGTGAAATTTTTAACATGAGAAGATCTAATCTCAATTGAAAGAATTCTATGTTAAAAATCATGCCTTATATGACATAACTTTTGTTACCCTACTGATTCAAATTAAATCTTAAAATATTATTTTTTTCCGCTAAATTTTATTTCATTTACTCTTTCATTTTTCACACCAAAATTGGTTTTTCATAAAGATGTCTCTATTTCCGAATATCACATAAAGCAATCAGCCCATGCATCGCACAAAATCTAAATTTATTTTGTTTTCTTTCTTTTACAATGGAAATCTAAAACCCAACCAATCATCATGAACTTGTGATATTGATGTAAATATTTGATTAGTTATTTTATTTTTATTTTATTTACTCTTTCATTTTCACACCAAAATTGGTTATTTTTATATTGATGTAAAAATAAGAAATTTTACATTTTTTCTTAATAATTAATCTGCTTATATTTAATGATTTATACATTCAATAAATTAAAAATATTAGATATAAATAAAATCAATAATTAAGATTAAGAATATAACTTATACCTATAAAATGATATTGATCCATTATTCAACAGCCCATTGTGAAATTTTTCCGTAGAGCTGGCTAAGAATATTATATTTATCTAATTCTTGGTTAAATTTCAGCTCAATTCTCCTCCATTTTAATATTCTTTTTCATAATTTTAATAAAAAAAATAATTTTCCCATTTTACATGAAAAAAATTTCTCATGCTAAATTCACAATATATGAATGGGTCCCATCTTAATTTTTTAGTCTTCTCATTATTTTGGACTCCACTCATGTATTGTATGTGTAGCATAAGAAAATTTTCTCTTAGAAAATTAATTACCTTTTTCTAATCTAAATAACTGCGTCATAGAAATGGGAAAAAAAAACGTCGTGTTCAGCATAAAATGTCTGCTTTAGCTGGGAGTTTATTCCTTTTCCGGAACCGTGAGAATATACGTGAACCGTGAGAATATGCATGTCTTTGAAGATATTGTTGAATAAAATAATCGTTTATATATATCTTACGAAAACAAAAAATATTGTAACCATTAAATAACCAACCTCAATTATCACCACCGTCATGTAATGATAACAGCAATAAACTAAGGTGCATGCTGCTTGCGCCTCGGACATCCCGATTCATTGACAGCAAATGATTGTTCGCTTGTGTCAATTGTGTGTATAAAATATACAAAATGGTTGGGGTGCAAGCGAACTTGGTCTTATAACCATAGCCATGGCCATTATAGGGGGCCAATTATGTTTGCAGATAGTGGTGCACCGCCCCAATCTTTCCCGTGTATTCGGCTGCTACTACTTATTATTCAACGGATCCTAGTATGTATTAAATAGCATGATGATGTTATTAGACAAATCAACTATAATGATATTGTCAGATTAATCATACTCACTCTTATAATAATATTTTCTCTGGACAAGTCAAATTAGTCATTCACACTCACTCTTATAATAATTAATAATTTTTAGTCACTCTCAATATGTGTGATTGTGTTTTAATTTTTTTTTTTTGTTCTCAAGACTATTTTGTTTTGTTACGAAAGATAAATATTCTAAACAAAAGGAATTACAAATGTTTCATTTTTTTTTTTTTACTAATACTTTCTGTATCTTCGCCAGTGGCAGTGCGCGAAAAGGGCAAAAAGGTTGAGGGAAGACGTGGTTCTAATGTTAAAGAACTTGTGGACCTTGTGGTTACAGCTATATTTTTCATTGTCCCACGGGTTCCATATTCTATGAACGTGATTCTACCGGATTGAACGTGATTCTCACGGATCAGTTAACTTTAATTGGAGAAAAAGTTCAGACCACAGCACAAACTCGTGTGGGAATATTTATCAAATTCATAAAAATTATACAACCTTCGATTTTAGTTACCTGCTAATAGATCCTCATTCCATTTCATTTCCGAAAATAGAGCTTACATATGGGAACGGAAAGAAAAATGGGCAAAGAAGGAATAATAAACGTTTAAGTAAAGGTCACGTTTAAGACTTGAGGTACACCATTCAATATCTTTACTGGTTGAAATTAGTGGTTGAATTTTTTGTCCTGAACCGTAGCTCGCAGCTCAGCACCATCAATCTCTTTAGTGTTCTCGGGTTTGTAGTAACCGGTGACGGGGTCTGGGACCCACGAAACCTTCTCAGAGGTTGCCACCTTGTCTTCCCCTGACTTGGGGGCTATCTTGCCGCTGATGGAGGCTGCTCCTCCCCTTGCAGCGCTTTGTGTAGTTGCCGCGTACGCACGCCTGTTCACCACACACAACCATACATCTTAATCTAATCAGTAATAATTATTAAGAAAACCGCATAGAACAAAAAAATAAAACTTCTTCATAGGCTAAGTAAATGTAATCAGGAAAGTCATGGCAAAAGTATTATAAGAAAACGTTGTGGTACCTTGTAAGAGCGTTGGAGAATCCATCAGCGACTACAGCGGAGAGAGCCTTGACGTTGGTGAAAGAGCGAGCCATTGGTGTTCAAATATTACAATTAAAAACTTGCGAGAGGAAAAGAGGTTCAATTGATGGATGTGATTTTGTGTGAGAATGAATAAGAGAAAAACAAGCTCTCTCCAACAAGGACAAGAAGAACCTCTGTTGTCTCTAAGGCTGAGTTGCAGGGACAATGGGTGGGGTGTATATATACATAGGTCAAGGAAAGGAAAGGGCACGCGTGAGGAAAGAGAAAATTTCTTGCACCATTAACGCGAAAAAGTAACAGAGACAATAAATATTAAAATAAATTTTATAAAATTATTACCATTAATTTATTTTTATATTATTATAATTTTTTATATGATTACATCATATTTTTTTAATATGTGATAATTTATTTATTTGCACTTTTATGACACTATTGCTTGTTTGAATCAGAAAGCCATTTGTATTTGCCTACTTTATTTTCTTTTTTAAAATGATAATTAGATGGACAAACGTATAATAACACTTAACACGATATATATATATATATATATATGAGGAAAATATTTTTCAAGCTGCCTGAGATAAGTTTATCTCCGGTCATCCCAAAACTACGTTGTTTTGATTATTTATTTTCTTATATTTATTGATTTACTTTTGAATGGTTATGATTTCCTTTTTCCCTCTCTTAATTATCACAATTGATCTATCTTTGTACAGTTATGATTTAGTAGCCGGAGATAAAGTTATCTCCAACAGCTTGAAAAATGATAAGTCATATATATATATATATATATATATATATATATATATATATATATAGATACATATATATATTGTTTTTTTAATGTTTGTGCTCTAATATAATTTTTAAGGGGGAAAGGATTCATTTACAAAAAAATATATAAATTTTTATAAATTATACCATATATTTTTGAAAATATAATAACTTAATGTACTTTTAAAATACATAGTATAATTTATAAATATATAAGAAAAAAACATTTTACCCGTCGGTTGAGTAACGACCGCCACGAATAATGGAGGAAAAGTCGGCGCTGGGCAAGTGAAAAGAAAGACATTAGGACCCAATGTCCTCTAGAATGACCGTCCCTTAGCGTGAGTGTGACATCAGACCGTCCACGTGGCAATGTTCGTCAAAAAAATTGTAAGAAACTGTGGCGTTTTTGTAAATAATTCTTCTAGCATTGACAAGTGACAAGGACGTCGTGGAGGAGTCAATTCAAGTGGCGGATCAACTTGGGCTTGTTTTGAGTTTGGACTCTTGCCAACTGGTTCATTACTGGCATTACGGATGAGCTAATATACGCTAAAGCAATGGGCATTAATGGGTATCACCCAATTCCAACGGATAAGTTAGCTACTTGGCTTTGGGAACCTTCTTCATTGCCGATTCCCTTGCCCCATCTTGGTGCCTGATATGCGTCTTCGCTAATCTATCGCAATCATGCTTTCAAGTATTGGATTCTCCCAAATTAGGTTTGGAAATGAAGTCTCACTTATCCATGTGAGTATATCTAATAATGGTTGCTTGCATACCATAATATATGAATTCAAATTAATTTTTTTAATTTCAAAAAATAAAGGATTTACGCTATATAAATTTTTTGGTATTTTTTATTTATTTACATTGGTTGTTTAGTTTCCAATTTATTTTATTTTTATTTTTGTTCAACTTTTTTTCTAACATCCACTCTTTTTTTAATGTAAGCTTCTATCTTCTTCTTTTTTTTGTGAGTTTTTCTTTCTTTCTAATTTTATAGTATAAATCATGGGTTATATGTATCTTATGTTGTAGAAAAATAGTTATTTTAACTTATAGAAATAAAATTACAAGTGGGACCCACATATAAGAAGAGAAAAAAAAATAAATGTGAGATCTACCTCCACTTTATGTGTATAGAAAACTTATATATCTTATGTAACATAAGATAAATATAATGTATAGATGATCTGTATTATATGTTCTAGATCATTTTTAAGAGACCCAATACGAAGGGCCCAATTTCGTTAAAGTTCAGCCCATCCACTTGTACCTTCCTTGCTAAGTAAAGTAAGATCGTCATCTGGAAAAATAAGTTCCATATGTGAGCTGCTTCGCACTAACATACCGCGAGGATATTCAATTAGCAGCATTGGGGCTGACACAAGCACCTCAGTGAACTGGGTTGAAATCATCTCTGCAAACCGATCACGAGATGACATGAAATTACTCCTAACACAACCTATGACCCTAGCTCACAAATAAGCATCTCAGAATCGGTGTTAGAATCTTGGGAACCTCGCATTCAGTTAATTAACAGCCATAGCCACAAATAAAATGACACCAACATTTACATAAGCGGTTATTCATTCTGAAACACCGACACAGCAATTTTTGAATAAAAAATACGTGTGTCAAACACATATTGGTGTCTGATTCATTTTGACACACATTTGATATGTGGTTAATTTTTTGAAACATGTTGACTTTGATTGAGTCCGACAAACACTCAACGTTTGCAGATATGTTTTGACATTTTAGTAAAAAATTAATAAAATTATAATTTTAAAAAAATTAAAAATATTTAATTATTTTTTTTTATAAGTTGTGTGAAGGGCGAGACTCTCCAAGAGTACTGGTGGTGCATCGAACGCGCCCTTGATTGGGGCTTCATCGGCGGATCTGACCTCATCGTTGACGATGGCGACGACGACAAGTTGCTCATCCATGAGAGTGTTAAATGCCAAAGAGCTCTTCGAGAAAACGGGCCAGTTACCCGACTCGTCTTCCACCAATAACTCATGCTTACTATCATCAGGGATGGATTGAAGACCAATCCTAAGAGGTACAGTAAGATGAAGGATAGGCTCGTTGGGGTTTCTGAAGAGACTACCACGGGAGTTAAGATGCTTTATCAGATGCACGCTAATGGAGTAATGGGACTCTCTTGTTCTCTGTTATCAATGTTAATGACTATGTCACCAAGAGCAAGGTTAGTTTGTTTTTCCGGCTAGATTTGTTTCTGGATCGATTTTGGTTTGATTTTTGGGTAAAAGTTGTTAATTTTTATTATTTCAGATTTTGGTTTGGATTTAGATTTGTCATGTGTTATGGGTTTTGTAGCATTAGCGGAATGTGTTAAATTTTGAGTTTTCTTAATTATCACTTACCCCTTCACAAATTTTTTAAATAATTTACACTCCTATTTAAATTGTTTTATCACTTACCTCCTGATTTAAAGTTTCTTTTTCATTTACCCTCTCACTTAGGGGAATAAATGATAAAAAAAAATTTAAGTCAAAGGGGAAATGATTCAAAATTTTGAGGAGAAGGTAAATGATTATTAATAAAGTTATAAGAGTTTTTTTTGAAGTTTTCCCTTGTTTTATTTATGTCTTGAGAGATGTTTGGAGTGTTGGGTATTACTTAATGATTGGTTTAGTGTGCTATTGATATGGCTGGGGTTCTTGTTGTGTAATAAAGAGCAATTATTAGTATTGATTAGGTTTTTGAAAACAACAAGTGAGTCATTGAATTTATACATATTACTTGGTGGGGATTGTTGGTTCCACGAGGTCAATGGATCTAGGTGATCATGTTTTGAATATTTAATTGGTTATATGATTTATTATGGCTTGTTATATGTATTAAATGTAAATTATATAAAATATATTAAAAATATTATTTAATATCAAAATGTATTCTAAAATGTCAAAATATAGCATTTTTTAGAATTTACGTGTCGAAGTGTTGTATCATATCGAAGTGTCCCGTGTAGGTGTCAATGCATTATAAGTCATTCAAGCCCCAAAATAGGTCTTCTACATTCATACAAATATGGTAGTAAATTCTCTCTATGTTCAAATTAAAATTTCATAATATGTCTATTTTTCTTTCACATGTATTAAATAGGTGGGGTCTAATTATTATTAATGAGAAAAATAAATATAAAAATTTTATATGATCAGGTCATATGAAATTTTAACATAAGAAAATTCATTCTCATAACCTGATCATATGAGATTTTTATATTTATCTATCTCTTCATATATATTAAATAAATATAATTCAATTATTATTCATTAAAAAATAGATACACATACTTTTTAAAAAAAAAATCAAATCATGTAAAATTTTAATATAAGAATACTCGTTCTCCTCTCAACTATAGTTGAAAATGTGCTTAGTAAAATGCCGTGAATTGTTGTGGATTTCTCTCCTATTAAATTTGCTATTGGTAGTAGCGCCAAATGGCAACTTATCATTTTTACTCGAGGTTGACCAAACAAGCAATAAATCCTAGAGGGTATTTGATATAAGTATTTGGTATGGAACGAGGTGGGAAATATTTATTTACTATATTTAGTATGGGTATTGTGAACAAAATATTAGCAAATTTTTTTATCTAGTATCAAAAGCAAAAAAAATTCCCACTTAACCTTTGGTATTTTTTTTCCTTGATTTTGAATTCTCAAAAAGTAACATTGATTCATTTTCTCCCAAAATAAAGCAACATTTTGATGATGACTCACTTGGCATATTCAAAAAATTAAGAGTATTTTGATAATTTCATTCATATTTCTCTCAATATTTTACTGTCAAGCAAACATAGCATTAATAAAATTAATCTAACTTTCTCTGCAAAATTTTAGCCAACCAAATATTTTTTTGTAACTTACTTGAAATAAAAAAATTCCTATCAAATCTTAAAAAAAAAAAAATTCTCGGTAAAAGAAATATCTTTCATTCCAAACGCCTCCATGCGATGGGATTCCATTTTCTATTGTGTGCACGTAGATAAAGCTAAATTACAGTTGCTGCTGTCGCAATCAATCACCAATGTATGTCTACACTAGTCTTATGTTATGTTTATTTTTTTAAAAAGGAAAATAATAATCTTATATTACATGAGATTGATCTCTCATGTTATTTTTACTTCGAAAAAGATTCTTTTTTTTTTTTTACTTTTTTCTAAAAATTGATGGGACTCACTTTACTTATTTTTTAACATAAAAGAACTTCTCTCATACTATACGAGAGAAGTAACTTTTAAAAAAATTACATGAATTTTTCATGAAAAATAATTTTATTGAGTCTAATATTAAAGTTTTAAATCTCTCTAAAAAATAATATTAAAAATATTGAATATATAATTTTATTCTTACTTATTCAATTCTCATATGTCAATTGAATTACCATCATTTAGTATCTTATATTATTTTCAACTCATTAATTATAGCAGAAAAACAATTGGCTGAAATTAAGCCAACCAGAAGACCCCCCCCCCCCCCCCCCCCCCCCCCCCCCCCCCCCCCAACCCCAATACACATCATGTAGAACTCATTTCCTCTCAGCTGCTAGGTGTTGATCAGCTCCGTTCTATGGATATAGATTTTCTTTACTCCTTTTTGGTTGGCAAAAAGTAATTGTTGATATTGTTAAATCCTTATGTTAGTATTTCTCCATTTTCTGTTGGCATCAAAATATATCCACATACTTACATTGTCAGGAAAAGAACGCAAATGTTAGTTCAGAATATATCCCCATCCTAGAAAATTGCCTACCATTTCTTTGTTATATTAATGTAGCATTCCTTAACTAACAATTCTAGTTCATTGGATTGGACTAGTATTACAATATATATATATATATATATATATATATATATATATATATATATATATATATATATATATATATATAAATAAGGATATGATCCGTTTATAATTTTTTTTTTGCAAATTACACTAAGTACGACCGGTCGTATACTGCATGATTAAAGTATGACCGGTCGTACTTAGTGTAGTTTGTAAGAGTTTGTAAACAAAAAAGTTTGTAAGTATAACATGCTATATATATATATATATATATATATATATATATATATATATATATATAGGGTCAGGATCATTTTACACTAGTGTAAGTTACACTCTTAATCTTGTCCGTTGATCCCATTTATATCTAAGGGCTCAAATTTTTTAGTAATGTGAGCCATTGGATACAAGTGGATCAATGATCAAGATTGAGTGTAAGACTTTTAATTCTTACACTGGTGTAAGAATATCCTGCCCCATATATATATATATATATATATATATATACCACTACAAAAATTTATCACATTTACAACCAACCTAATCATCGTTGATTTTCATCAATCTAATAGTTATAATTTCTTGGATTTATTGGGAATTAATAAAGAGTTCACTTTTTATGAAGTTAATGCAGATAAATTATCTGCAGTAAGCTCAATACGCCTTCATTTTAGAGCGAAAATCATGGTATTTTTGTAATTTTAATTTATTTCAGGGTTATTATAGTATTTATAATTTTAATTTTTTAATCTTTCAATCTCAAAACGACGTCGTTTTGGAAGTATGTAATTTATTTGATCCTTTATTTATAATAGTATGTAATTATAATTTGTTTGGTCCTTTATTAATAATAATATGTAATTTATTATTTTTTTGAATTAAATATTTAGAATTTATATTATTATTTTTAGCTATTTGAATATATTTATAATTTTTAATATAAATTATAAATTTATATATAATAACCAAATTATGGGATTGAATGAGTGATTTACTAATTGAATTAATAATCCAATAATTCGCTATCTCAACGGGATTAACGACTCAGCCGATTTTAATATTATCAATTTTAAAAAAGAAAATAAAGTAGGCAAATACAAACGGCTTTACGAATCAAACAAGCAATAGGCGCCAGAAAAGTATGCTAATCTATGACGGGCTCATAAATGATGCTAGAAATTTTCTCTTTCCTCACGCCGTCACGCGTGCCCTCTCCTTTCCTTTACCTATATATACACGACACCCGACCAAGTCCCTGCAACTCGTCAAATTAAAACGTTAGAGACAACAGAGGTTCCTCTTGTCCTTGTTGTACAGAGCTTGTTTTCTCTTATTCATTCTCAGACAAAATCACTTCCATCAATTGAACCTCTTGCCTTCTCACCAGTTTTTAATTTTAATTTGTAATACCAATGGCTCGCTCTTTCACCAACGTCAAGGCTCTCTCTGCTCTAGTCGCTGATGGATTCTCCAACGCTTTTACAAGGTACGGCAACGTTTTCTTATCATACTTTAGCCATGTGTTTCCTAATTACATTTACTTAGCCTAGGAAGAAGTTTTCTCTTTTTGTTTTATGCGATTTTCTTAATAATTATTACTAATTAGATTAAGATGTATGGTTTTGTACTTTTGTGTGAGGAACAGGCGTGGGTACGCGGCAACAACACAAAGCGCTGCAAGGGGAGGAGCAGCTTCCATCAGCGGTAAGATAGCACCCAAATCAGGAGAAGACAAGGTGACAACTTCTAAGAAGGTTTCATGGGTCCCAGACCCCGTCACTGGTTACTACAAACCAGAGAACGCCAAAGAGATTGATGTTGCTGAGCTGCGAGCGACGGTTCAGAACAAAAAATTCAACCACTAATTTCAACCACTTCTTGGTGGCATGAATGATGTACCTCTTGAGTCTTATAGAGGTTTAGAAAACCTTTGAGGATTTAGACATGGGCCATGGACAAGCATGACCTTAGTTAACGTTTATTATTCCTCCTTTGCCCAATTTTTTTTTCTGTTCCCATATGTAAGCTTTATTTTCGGAAATGAAATGGAATGAGGATATATTAGCAGGTAACTAAAATCGAAGGTTGTATAATTTTTATGAATTTGATAAATATTCCCATGTCACGAGTTTGTACTGTGGTCTTAACTTTTTCTCCTATTAAAGTGTTCCGGATGGCCCAAGTACTAAAGTGGCCCACCTATCCAGGCTCAATACCGGGCGTGACCCCGCGTCAGCCCTAAGGGCTGACATGGACCTCCTCAACCCCTAACGTAGCAGCAGGTTCAAGGCACACACCAAAATGTCCCATCTTGAAACGCTAACCATCGAAGGCGACTACGACAGACGCAAAGGGAAACTCTCCCTTTGCACGGTGCTGACACCGCCAGAATACAGAGGGCGCAACACTGCCACAATGACAGCGCCAGCACGCCTAACACTGCATCATGGGAGTAAATCCCAAGGAGAGTTGACCTCCCCCTTACCAACCCACACCATTTCCCCTATAAATAGCCCCCATGGGCACACCTTGCAGGTATCTTATGTATCGTTATACTGCCCATTTACTTGAGTCATATCATCCATTTGCTTATTATCTATTCACTGCTTTCGCTTGGCTTTATATTTCTTAGCCTGGTCTGTATCAGTGCTAAGGGTATTATCTATACATTGACTCATCCCCTTCGTAAAAATTTTGACGGAAAAAATATTCTGTTAAAAATTCTTTAGAGAATCTAAATTTCGTCGAAAGTTTCGAATGAAACATTTCCATCAAAACAACTTCCGTCGAAATTTTCGTCAGAACACATTCCCATCGAAATTTTGAACGAAAAACATTCCGTCAAAATTTTTGGCTGAATTCTTTTTTCGTTTAAAACATTTAATGGAGGAAATCATTTTCGCCAAAACTTTTAACGGAAACTAAATTTTGATAAAAATTTATTTTTGTAAAAATTTTCATTAGAGAAAAAATTCTGTCGCTTTAGAACAAAAAGTATTTCGACGAAAAAATAATTTTGTGACGAATTTTTTGCGTTTGCAACGTAGAAATTTCGGCGAAATTTTGTGACGACACCAAGTCAAAAATGGGTCAGGTCAAATTTGACCAACTTCAGAAACCAAGTCAGGTCAGATCCGACCCGGTTCTGAACTAGTTCAAAAAAATCCAAACCAAGTCAGGCCTGACTGGATCAAATTAAAGCGGGTCGGGTTAAAATACCTGACCTACAAAAACCAAATTAGGTTGAGTAAGCACAAAAACCTAATCCAACCTAACCCATGCACAGCCCTAATTCTTGATTCATTCTAATGGATGTTGTTGTTGGGGCTCGTATGTCCTGAGTGTTGAGTTTTGTTCTATAAAGCCCCGTTGCATAAAAAATGATGATAATTCAATTTGTTATTTATTTACTCTTGATCCATTGAATAATGTGTAGCAGCAGCCGAATATAGATGAAAGATAGGGGGCGGTGCCCCCACTATCTGCAAACATAATTGGCCCCCTATAATGGCCATGACTTTGGTTGTAAGTCCAAGTTCGCTTGCACCCAACCATTTTGTTAATTTTATACGGATCTGGAGCATGTCATGTTCAGCATGCGCCTTACTGACCTTAGTTTATTGATGTTGTCATTACATGACGGTGGTGTAATTGAGGTTTGTTATTTAATGGTTACAATATTTTTTGTTTTCATAAAAAGTATATAAACGATTATTTTATTCAACAATATCTTCAATGACAAGCATATTCTCACGGTTCATGTATATTCTCACGGTCTCGCAAAAGGAATAAACTCGCCGGAAAGCAGACATTTTACGATGAAAAACGACATTCTTTCATTTCTATGAAGCAGTTATAACAAAAAATTATGAGAAAGAATATTAAAATGGAGGAGAGTTGAGCTGAAAATTAACTAATAATTAGAAAAATATAATATCCTTAGCCAGCCCTACGGAAAAATTTCACAATGGTTTATTGAACAATCGTCAGTCACAAGTTCGTGTATGATTGGTTTGGATTTTAGATATCTGTTGTAAAAGAAGGGGAAAAAAAAATTAAATTTAGATGTTGTGCGATGCATGGGCTTATTGCTTTTCGGAAATTGAGACATGGTTTATGAAAAAAAATAAAAAATTGGTGTGAAAAATGAAAGAGTAAAAGGGTGGGATTTTTTAAGATTTTATTTTGAATCAGTAGTGCAACAAAAAGGGTTGAAAATGTGGCTAGTATTAGTAAGATGCGGAGAATTGTCGTGGGTTTCTGTCCTATTAAATTTGCTATTGGTATAGTAGCGCCAAATGGCAACTGCTTGTCATTTTTACTTGAAGTTGACCAAACAAGCAAAAACCCGATTATAATTGTGCAATGAGATTCCATTTTCTAATGCGTGCAAGTAGATAAACCCGGTGGATCCTTTCATGTTTTTTTTTTTTTTTTTAAATCGATTCTTTTATTTCTTAAATTTTACATGATTTGGTGCTATAATGGGTGGGATTTAAGTATTATTATTATTATATTTTTAGTAAATAAAGGGGCCTAAAACAAAACAAGAAAAAAAACTAACTAATTAGGGCAATCCTGCGCTAATTCCCAACAGAGGCCAAATCAGCCAAATATAGAAAAATAATTACGTCTGGATTAGGGGTTTGAATGGGCTACGCTTTGACTTAAATAAGTCAGACTTTTGTTAAAAATCTTAGGTCTGGCCAGGCCTAATAGTCTGTGTAGGCCTGTTGCAAAATCGGCAAGTATACCGTTCGTTTCAAGTAATAAAGTGATAAGTAGAGTATCGTTCCCACGAGAATTAATGCTTACTAGTTTAACTATTCCCCTTAAGTTGGAAAATAAAATTGGTTTGGTTTGTGAAATTAATTGAGAGTTTATGATTCAAAAACAGAATTTAAAATAAAAATATTTTAAAACAAAAAATTAAAAACAATTAATTTCCAACGCATGCAAGAAAAGATAAAGAACGTAAGAAAATATTGATAGAAATTTGTAAAAAGGATGTAGCCAGGATGCACTTCACCTCCGATCCTCCCTTATATTCCTATATTGTATTTTATAATTAATTAATTGGTTTACTCAGACAATTCATTATTTCCCTATAAAATAGTTGAACCATAATGCCTTAGTGATTTCAACCCTTTAACCCAATTAGAATCATAATGTCTTAGTAATTTCTCTTGAATCAAGTATTAAGCAAATGAATTATGAGTCTGCAATCTATGTAAGCCTATGTCTAGATCATACACAAATCGTTATTGTACCCTTGTCCAGATTAAAATTCTAATATGTCTATTGCGAATTCTAACCCTCAAAGCCCTATAATTTAGAGTGATCAGTTTTAAACAGGGTATGGAAAAATTAACACAGGTAGAATAAAACAAACTAAATAATTAAATTATAAAAACAATATAGAAAACATAAAGGATTCACATCGGGTCTGTGATCTCATCCCAACTACAAAAAGAAACTAGCCAGACATAGAAAGCTTAAACAAATTAAAATAAAAAGAATTCATGAAAACAATAAAGAAAAGAAATAGAAGAAGAAGAAGATGAAGGATCAATGGTCTTCGTTCTTCAACTCTGTCGAAATCCTGATCTCCAGCGTGAGCCTCCAAGAATTCTCTCCAGCAAAAAAAGATGTCTCTGGGAGTCTAAGCCTCTATTTATAGACTTTGTGTCTTGCTTAGATATCTTGATTAAATCTTCATTGTGTATCTTGGTCCAATCTTCCTTTGATTCAGTCTGAAATAGAATAAAGATTTTCCCGTATCTCCCGCGCTACTAGCGCCAGTTTTGCGCTAATAGCGTGGGAGTATTGTTCTTGAATTAGTAGATTGGCTCTACTAGTGTGAATCCCGCGCTAATAGCGCGGTTGGCAAAATTGGATGGCGCTACTAGCGCCAGTGCCACGCTAGTAGCGTGGGAGTCTCTGTATTGAAAAGTTCTTCTGGCGCTACTAGCGCCACACCCGCGCTAATAGTGCGGGGCTTCAGACTTGTCCTTCCAAATTGGGCTTCTTTTTGTCCTGTTTCCTAGAAAATCAGAAGGAAATCAGTTACAAGATCTCTTATTAAGATTTATCATTTTATTAACAATTCTAGCATTTTTTATCCAAGATTGATCAAGATTCTTTCTCTTTTTGGCTTAAAATCATATATATGTTGGAGGCATATCAAACAATTCCCAGATTTGAACGTTGTTGCCCTGAGAAATGTAATAAATTAAAGTTAGAAGCAAAGATTTACTCTGTGAAGAAAACATGGAACATGAACATCTTAAGAGATCAGACTACTATGCATGTATAACTCCTTGTTAAAAACTTCAAACAATGCTTTTCAGTTGTATTAAGAATTCAGATCCTAACTTGAATGTTCCTCACTGGATAAATATGTAACTCTCATCATTCTAGTGTTTGAAGGTTTCACACTCATTCCATCAGTGTAGTAGTGATTCCATAGGCTTGATCATATTCTCAAATTCCTAAAATTGAGGAACTCATTTGACATGCAAAAACTGATCTAAAGGTCTTTGATAGGTTATAACTTGGCCTGACTTGGGGTAAGAATCTTTTGGATAGAGGCTGATTAATTTGAGAGACTGAAATACTGAGATTTTTGACAATACTTTCTTCCCAGTCTTTTAATTCTGCTACTTTTCATCAATTTGGGATTCTTTTTCCTTTTTCACTACCTTTTTCTTTTCTTTCCTTGTTTGCAGATGTTTTCTTTCTTTTCTCTTTTGAGCTGCATTTTTGCAGTATTTTTGCAGACTATTCTTCTGTTTCCTTTTTCAACTTACTTAACTTTTCTTTTGAGAAGTACCTTGACTTTTTCTTTTAATCAGCATTTCAATCTCTTTCAAGGTGTGTCAATGGAGAAATTGTTAAGTAACTTTCATCAGGTTTTTGAATAAATTGGTCTAAGGCTCAAAAGGGCTTAACAATGAAAAATTCTTCTAGGTAGACTATTTGGCTCTAAGTTAACAAGAATAAACATGCCTTTATCTTGTCAGCAATGCATGCAAGCCAGAGAAACAGTTCAAGTTCTAGAAAACTACTACAGTGAGGCATCTTTGAAAAATATTTCTGTTTAGGCTCAAATCCTCACAGTTATAATTCAAACTAGAATCTAATTTTAAAATTTCACATCAAGCATTATCTAAGAATTTTCACCAAAACAGTTATACAAACGAACAATCATCATTCTCAGATTCTTTAAGAAATTTAATGCTTCACAAATATCATGCTTCTTACAATTCAATCTATTTAATCACTGAGTAAGCTTTGTAAAATCTAGGAACGCTTGTTCAGGAATTCACTATTTTTGTATTTTTTTAATTTTTTTCTAAAAAAAAATTGAATTAAAAATTAATTAAGAATTGAATTAAAACAGCAGAAATAAAAAAATTTGAAAGGTTAAGATGTCTCCCCTTTTAACAGAAAAATTTCTGTTAGACGTCTCTGTTGTGCAATTCCACAGTTAGTAGTTATCGCATATGGTATGCGCCCAATTCCCAGATTTAGATTATTGCTGTCCTCAGCAACAAACTAAACTAGTCGAGTGAAGCTACTTCTGCACAGGTGGAACACTCACACACTTGTTAAACATCAAACAGAATAATCATAAAAGTGAAATGTATAAAAGGGAGACATAATCAAACCATAATCTAAAACAGCAAAATAAAATGCTAAGTCAAAATAAATGGTGAAGTGTATGACATCCTAGTGCTCTAAGTGCAAAATTTTCTGGGATCTTGGCGCTTATAGGGCAGTTCTCGCGCTGTGAGCGCGGTGCTAGTGTGAATTTTGGATCCTCTGGCGCTGACAGCGTGGATCTCACGCTGTTGGCGCGAGTCTTTCATGGGTTTCTGGCGCTGATAGCGCCAATATGGCGCTGTCAGCGCGGAGCTTCTGCATCTTTTGAACTTATTGGCGCTGTCAGCGCCAATTTCACGCGGTTAGCGTGAACTACTGGAAATTGAAATTTATGATGCTTCCAGCGCCAACTCCACACTGTGAGCGGAGCTTCTGTCTTATTTTCATATTGTGGCGCTACTAGCGCCAATTCCCAGATTTAAATTTTTCTATGTGGTCACTAATTCACCAATTACTTGACTTGTTAAAATTAAACTAACCTAATCAATTAAAATAATTAAATAAGAAAATTTTACTATTGGATTGCCTCCCAATTAGCGCTTGTTTAACGTCACGAGCCTGACGTACCCCATGTGATTATGGTGGTTGGAAGCATGTTACCATTAATGACCCAGTCTTCTTGATCCAGTATTATGTCCTTCCATGATCATATGCACGTGGATGAGGAGAAGGATTCTTAAGAACTTTAAGCTTAGGTTTCACCTGTTCTTCCTTGCTCTTGGGCTTTTCCATCTTAACCTTTGGCTTGCTTTCTTCATGCCGCTGATGGACTTCCTTCTTATTCCCTTCCTCAACCTTCTTCTCTGCAATGTAGTTAACTTGATCTTTAGGTTGAGATGCAGGCAATGGAGCTTCACTTGTAAATACCTTGAATGTTGCTTGCTCTCCATCCACGCGCATTAATAACTCACCCTTAGGTACATCGATTAGCGCTCCTGAGGATCCTACGAATGGCCTCCCGAAGATCATAGGCACACTGGCATCTTCATCAATGTCAAGTATAACAAAATCAACAGGAATTAGAAATTTGTTTACCTTGATGAGCACATCTTCCACAATATCATATGCTTGCTTTGTTGAGCGGTCGACCAGTTGAACCTTCATCCTCGTTGGCTTGACTTCATCAATTCCCAGTTTCTTCATCAGGGTGAGGGGCATCACATTTATGCTGGCACCAAGATCGCATAAAACTTTCTCTATGGTCATCTTGCCGATGGTCACATAGCGCGGGGCTTCAGACTTGTGCTTCCAATTTGGGCTTCTTTTTGTCCTGTTTCCTACAAAATCAGAAGGAAATAAGTTACAAGATCTTTGATTAAGATTTACCATTTTAATAACAATTCTAGCCCTTTTTATCCAAGTTTGATCAAGATTCTTTCTCTTTATAACTTAAAATCATATATATGTTGGAGGCATATCAAGGCCCAAAATTACAAGTCTAGTCTTACATATATTAAAATAATAAAAAGTCTTGTTAGGCTTGTTAGCCTGTTTAAGTCTATTAAATATTTAATATTTAAAAAATAACTAAAATAATATTACTTTATTATTCAAAATTATTAAAATAATAATTTTATTTATTTAAAATAAATAATATGCTAGCCTATAGGCTTATAGACTCGACATGTACAAAAAAACTTATAACCTACTTTCTAAATAGGTTTTTTTAAAAGTCTAAGCCTGTTTTATTTAACTATTTGTAATAGGCCAAGCCTAGCCTAATATAGACTAGTCCATAGGCTCATGTAGGCCGGTATAGCCCATTTACACCCCTAGTCTGGAGGGTAATTGATCCATAACTTATCTGGAAGCTTGGGAGAATCCAAGATGAAGTTAGCCAACCAATATGCACACATGTTGCCTTCTCTATGTGTGTGTTGTAAAAGAACCCGCCAATCTTTCCTCAACCATGTCCGTATACGAGATATCAACTTAACCTCACGGACTGTTGCACCACACTTGGTGAGCCTAGTGATTTCCAATAAGGAATCACTTTCTAAAATAATATTACGAAACCCTGCATTCCAAGCTGCTTCTAAGCCCCTAAGCATTCACCAAAGCTCAGCTCTGAAAGACAGACAGAAGCCCAATCTAAAAGAAAAACCTTCAATCCATTTTCCTTACGCATTTCGAATCACACCTCCACAGACCGGCCGCGGACTTGTTTACTGCGAACATGTTTATGCTGGACCTTAAAGGAGCATATGTAGTCTTGGGGGTTCAATGGCTGGCAATCATTGGGCCTATTATTACCGAATATTCCTAGATGATCATGACATTCGACCATATTGGCTCCACTGTCATCTTACATGGTGATCATACCATTTCTCCTACACCAATTTCCAAAGCCCAACTTCACAAACTCGTGGCACATGATTCAGTTTCCTCCTGTCTCATATGCCTTACCAGCACCTCTTCCACTCCTGCACCACCACATCTAGCCTCGCAAACCTCTTTACCCATACAAAAAGTTTTGTCTCAATTTCAAGGTGTTCAGTACTCCAAATTCCTTACCTCTTGATCGCGCCTCAAATCACCATATTAACTTGTTCCCTGATCCTAAACCTGTCCAAGTTCACCCATATAGATATCCTTATTTCCAAAAAACGGAGATTGAACGAATGATGGGAGAAATGTTAGAGACTGAAGTGATTTAACCTAGTCAATCCCCTTTCAGTTCTTTAGTCCCACTAGTCCCCAAAAAAGAAGGTACATAGCGTTTTTATGTTGATTATCGTGCCCTCAATGCCATCACATTTTCGAATAAATTTTCTATTCCTACATTGGTTGAATTACTGGACAAACTACATGGTGCACAAATATTTTCCAAGCCCGACCTCAAATCAGGGTATCACTAGATTAAAACGAATCTGCATGATGTGCACAAGACGACATTTAGAACCCATAATGGGCATTTCAAATTCCTTGTTATGCATTTTTGGTCTTTCTATTGCACTATCCACTTTCCAGGGAACCATGAATCACATCTTTACACGATTTTTGATGCATTTTTTTGTTATTTTCTTTGATGACATCCTCGTCTATAGCCCTTCTCTTCAGGCACATGAAGATCATTTGATATAAGTGCTGCAAACACTTCGTCATCACCAGTTCTTTTTAAACTAACGAAATGTTCATTTGCTATGCATGAAATTCAATTTCTTGGCCACATTATCTCTGCTGCAGGTGTCTCACCTGACCCATCAAAGGTCCAAGCATTGTGTGATTGGCCCATTCCTCAATCTGTGACCCAACTTCGAGCTGTCTTGGGACTGTCAGGATACTATCGATGTTTTATTAAGGGTTATGCAATGGTTGCCACTCCGCTAACAGACTTGTTATCCAAAGACACCTTTGTATGGACAACAACAACTGATCACACTTTTGCCTCAATAAAGCAATTACTACTGCGCCAATTCTTGCCTTACCCAACTTCACACTGCCATTTGTTCTGGAAACGGATGCATCTGCAGTGGGCATAGGAACAATATTATTGCAAGCAGGACACCCCATTGCCTTCTTCATTCATAAGCTCTCCAAGATCATGCAGTCTAAATCCACCTACTTTAGGGAAATGCACACCATTGCCTCTGTCATAGTAAAGTGAAGACAATATCTTTTGGACACATCTTTTATCATCAATACTGGCCACCAGAGTATGCATCACTTAATGTCACAAATGATCAAAACTCCAGACCAGCAACAATTTCTCGCGAAATTATTGGGATTTAATTATTCCATTCAGTATAAATCCGAAAAATGTAATGTTATGGCCGACACGTTATCACATCAACCGAAGGGAGCTCCATGAGTTTTTCCCCTGAGTTAATGGTGATCAGCGTTCATGTTCAGAGTACAGTCCAATTATATAGTTACAACATGACACTCACGCTACTCAAATTTTACAGGGTTTATAATTTGATCCTTCAAAATGGCCACATTAGCAGTTGCGCAATGGCTTGTTGTTTCACCGGAATCGCTTGTGCCTCCCTGCTACGTCGTCCTTAGTGCCTATCCTGCTTCATGAATTTCACTCTTCAAAAGTTGGCGATCACGCTGGAGTTCGATGAACCCTGTTGCGTCTGGGTGCCAAGTTTACCTGGAAAAATGTCAAACGTGATGTTCACAAATTTGTTCACCAATATGGAATATGTCGGAAAAGTAAATCCTCGAACCACTCACCCTATGGCCTCCTACAACCGCTACCCATCCCTAAGGCCATTTGGTCTGAATTATCTATGAATTTCATTACCCATTTACCGCACTTTGCTGGGTTCACAAATATATTGGTTGTAGTGGATAGACTAACCAAATGGGCCCGTTATGCTGCCTTACCTACCAAATACTCAGCTACTAAGGTGGCCCAAGTTTTTTGGGATACTGCGGGAAAGCTCCATGGACCTCCCAAATCAATTGTATCCAAGAAAGACATATCTTTCTTAGTGAATTTTAGAAAACCTTATTCACACTACAAGGGACAATCTTACACTTTAGTTTCGCATATCACCCGCAATCTGACGACCAGAGGGAGAGGGTAAATCGCAATTTAGAACAATACCTGAGGTGTTTTGTCTACGAGAACCCGTCAACTTGGCACCAGTTTTTGAGCTGGGCTGAGTTCCATTACAATACCGCTCATAATCGATCCTCGGGTACTTTACCCTTTCAGGCCACTCACCACCATGTCTTCTGGAATACACTTTGGGATCCACTCCGATTGAGGCATTGGATTTGGTCCTTCAGTAACGCTCCATGATTGAAACAAAGTTTACGCAAGGCACAAGCTTTGATGAAAATTCAAGCATGTTGAAAAAGAAAAGATATCACCTTTCAAGAGGGGGATCTCGTGCTACTGAGACTTCAACCTTTTCGTCAACTATCTGTCCACAGGAGGTCATGCCACAAACTTAGTCTGCATTTTTATGGCCCGTTTGAGGTTTCGGAGCACATTGGTAGTGTAGCATACCGTCTTCGGTTACTAGAAGGCTCTCGCGTTCACCCCATCTTTCATGTTTCATTGTTGCGGCTATTTTTTCCAAGGAGTCAGTACTCTATTCATGATCTAGCCTCGGATCTCCATAGCACACCACCAGTGCATACCCCGGCAGCCATCATCTCTCGTTGGACAATCTGGAAACAGGGACGGCAGCCATTTATAGCTGGAGAATTAGGAATATGTAAGGCTTCACTTTTGCGGGAATACCTTTGACCATCTGAGTTTCTTGTGTCCCTGGTTTGGCGCTGGCATCGATGACGACACAGAATTGCTGTGATATACTGATATTTGCTATGATAATGCATGTCCTTTCATAATTCCACTCACAGATTTCTCATCTATTAGTACACAAACGGATTGGAACTCAGAAGAGAAAGGTATTGGAAATTTTATGAAATGAAAGTTGATTTTATCATACACGCAAGTTGATCAGCACATTTAATTTAAATAACTAACCGATAAAAGGATAGAAACACAAATTGTTCACACAATTCCAGTCCTAACTTATCCTTTTAAGTAGTTCAAATACTAACTTATCCCTAATAAAGGGAGCCGGGAAATCAATGAGGGCATTACCACTAAGCCCTCATGGTCACAAAGTATTAGTTAATCCCACTTCCAATAATAGTTGGTGATAATAGCATCGATATTCCAGCTATCCATGACAAAACGTTTCAGCTCACAAATGGCATATCACAAAAACCAAATGACTTCGAGGATGAACACAAGGTAGACGAATTTATAAAAAGACCCCTTCCTTTTAAGGTCTGCTTCCTAGGATTGCACAATGTCCAAACAATTAAACATATGATATGATGAGCGAAAATTAATAATACTCTGTAAAGGTAATATTGTTCAATCACCGTAACAAGCGTCCAATTGGCCATTGCTTCACTTGCTAAACTCAAACCATTTGTACAACAATTTGAACCAAATTGAGAGAAAGAGAAAAAGAAAGAGGACTGCAAAACATTAATACCTCTAAACAAAACATATCACAAAAGCGTTTTCTATCATACAAAATAAAGGGGGACAAATCACAATTTACCCTAAACTAGATTGTACTTCGCGGTTTGCATACAACGATTAACAGAAAAAGGAAAAAAATAAATATAAAATTAAACAATAAATGCGCATATAACAGTAACAATCACCAGGAATGTAAAATCTAATTATTAATCAAGATCCACGACCATGAATCACAATAATTGGCATGAGAAAACAGTTTTCTTTCATATATAAAAACAAAAAATCTAATTTTCTAGGTTGAGGAGGAAAGGGAGGGGTTTTCTAATTTGAGTTTCCTTATTCGGAAATCATCGCAATCCAAACCGCAACCGCACTGTGGGGAGACGAAGAAATTATCTAAGGGAAAAGAGGCGGAGGCGACGCCGACGGAAAAATCGAGTTCGTCGCCGTTCCGAACAACCTCGAGAATGTTGACCCAAAAGAAGAGCACCTTGACGCTCACACCACTGAGATCGGTGAGCCTGTTCTCTGATATGTGGCCGCTGATGGTTGATTTGTAACTCAACTTGTACGAACCCTCCAACGAGAAACTGCAGGAACCGTTCAGATACGCACGAAATTTGCCGTTTGATTCGTCCAGTTCGTAGCCCGTCACTCCTTTTGGGAGAATACCCTCCGGAAAGTGGTATCCCGCCAGCGCCTCGTACGCCGTCGAGGCTCCGGAGGAGCTCAGCGGCGACGACAGCACGATGAGGAGGAGAACGGCGACGATAGACATGATCTGTTAATAGAATTGAATTGAAGTTTGAGACTCTGGTGTGGTTTCGTTTATTATGTTTCCAATGAGAAGAACAAAACGTCGCGTTTCGTTACATGAGACTGGTTGGTGGGCCACGTGTTAATAGGTTGTATCCAGAAAGACCATGAGATGGATAGACGGTGTTGATTGCCTCGCCCAGTAATCTCCAACTCTAATCACATAAGTCACCGTTTGTTTCTCGGTGGAGTTTAAGTTGGTTGGCATCTTAAAATTGAGGATGTAGGGACCACCGATGCACCGCTGCTTGACCACGAGGGTGTATTAAAAATAAAAAAATAATAAAAAAATATTATCAGAATGGGTATGTCACTATGTCTTATAAATATGGGCATGTTATATGCACTCATTTCACATGTCGTTTCATGTGGAAATTGGAATGCTGTTAAAATTTTTTTATCTATGAGTGTGGCGTGAGCGGGACAGCATATTCCCTCACTTTTACTCATACTATTTATTTTTTGTAAATCTTATTGAAGCTTTTATGATTGAAAATAAGTCAAATAAATTTTTTTATGGATTGCAATGATTGACAATTTGAAACTGCAAAATGAATTATGTTTGAAAGCATCAAGATTAATTCGGATAAAACACGATATGTGTTATAATTTTTCGAAAAAATTCATGCAAAATTGAAGCCAAACAAAATTAAATTATTTCTTGCCGACTAATAGGTTTTTAGTAATTCAGCAAGAGGGCAAATATATTGGTCCGCAAAATTCTGATGATGAAAATGTTAAGGGCACGATCAGTGTCTTTGGGCAACAGTCCCTGACGATAGGACTTGAATTTTAGGCGGACATGAACTATGTTGGCAACTTATCTTCCCCCATGCAATCCCTAAATTTGAATATTCAATGGTCAAATAATATTGAGCACAAATACGATGATTCGTCTGCAAATGACAATTCCATTAAGGGGTTATCACTTGCAGGGGTGTAAATGAGGCAAGCTAGCCCAGCTCAGCCTACAGCTCGGTCTACATTAAGTCCGGTTTTTCTGAAAAGTAAAGTAGGCTTAGGTTTATAAAAAAAATTTTATAACAAATAGGCCATAGGCCAATTTTGTCAAGTCCGGCCTACAGCCTTGTTGGCTGGCCTATTTAATTTATTAAAATAAAATAATATTTATTTTATGTGACAAAGTACCAATATCAACCCTAATTTTTATGTGCACCGCCGCTTCTCACTCTCGACTTCGTCTTTTACTTTTTGTTGGTTTTATTTTATGAAAGGAAACTTGTCTAATGTCTCCAAATTTTACATGTTGTTGCAGCTTAATATCATGGAGCAATGAGTACCTTGCTGGATTATGATGTTACTAATGAAGATCTTTCAATAATACTCGTCTTTCCCTTGTCTTGATGGTGGTTTAAAGA